GGAGTCAGTTCATTCGTTCTAGATCGTCCGGCATAATAAAAAAAACACTGCCTTGTTAGTCGGCCGCAAGTAGTTGTGTGGACCAAATACGCATTTAAAACGCCCACTATGATTTCAAATGGAAGTCCATTGGGTGAGTAGGAGGCCTCCTCCCCCATCCACTAGGCGGAACTGATTAACGCCAAAAGACTCTATAAGACATCAGAGATGAGCAGAGACTTTTCCATTTTTGGTAGCAGTTGCCAGCAGTAGTAATCTCTTGCCTTTCAGGTCGGATTGTTCTCTTTTACTGAGTCTGATATGTTTTCTTCGCGTATTGCTGTTTTAAAACTGTTCAATCAGGTTGCAGTTCCTCAGCCATCACCTTTGAGTTATGGCTCTACGGATACACATTAAACGGCGAATAAATAATAAAGTTTTTCATCATTTTGATTAAAACTAGCTGTAGTGGGCCAGTGAAATGGCTGAAGTCTGCTGGGGTCGCTATTCGGATCAAACTGTCCTTCCTTCCCTGAAAGTTGGCTGACGAAAAAAAGTTACCGTTTTACTGTGCGACGGGGCCTCAAGAGCGAACTAGTCAAGCCCTGAAGGTGCTAGATTGCAACTCTGCCGAAGAATCTGTTTCGCATCAGCTTATTAATGTGGTGCTGGGGTTGCGACTCTGCCAAAGAATCCGTTTCTCATCAGCTTATTAATGTGGTAGGGGAAGCAATCCGTTAAATAACCCATGTTTTGAAAAGGTTGCAATTAAAATCGTAGCTCGCAAGTTAAAAGAGGTAGGTGATTTCGAGCGATGCGATATCTTTGTCGTACTATATATACCACGCCGAGTGTGTGTGTTGTTTGTGGGTGTGCGTGCGCGTGTGGGTTTGTGTTTGTCCGACATGGAATTCATATCTCCTGTTCCGTAGACCAAAGCGTAAGTTAAATGAGCAGGGGAGAAGAGGTAGGTGATTCCGAGCGATGCGATATCTTTATCGTACTATATATACCACGCCGAGTGTGTGTGTTGTTTGTGGGTGTGCGTGCGTGTGTGGGTTTGTGTTTGTCCGACATGGAATTCATATCTCCTGTTCCGTAGACCAAAGCGTTCAAATTTGGTAGGTGCACCGGTAGGAATGGAGCAGTGAAACAGATGTAGGGCCCAACTCCGTTCACGGAAGTTCAAGGGAAATTAATGGCTCTTGTTTCCCAAGACATGAAGCTTTCAAACTGGGTAGGAGTTCAGGTGGCAGGATGGGAGACTAATGCTAGGTGGCAGAGCTTGGCTCCACTCACTAGGGGCGGGGCCTGCGTGAAAATTGGTGATTTACGTATGCTAATTACTATTATTAATTACGTATGCTAATTATTACTGCTAATTTAGACATAAGCATTCGAAAGTGCAGGCGGCAGGTCCAAGATGGTAGGTAGTAGAATGTAACCGAAAATGGTCCTGGCAGGGCGCTCACGAGGTGTGTAGGTGGGTGGGTGTGTTAGTGTGTGTATATTTATGTAGACATGTGTGTATGCTTCGCTGAAAAACGATAGTTACTGTTTTCTTGAACTAGAGCGTTGAATCTGGCAGTGCATCAGATAGTATAGGTGGCAGGTCCAATACATCGTGAGCATCTTCAACACAATAAGGACAATAAGGGGGAGGACCTTGTGTCAGCCATGCGATGCGACTGGTTTTATGTTATTGCGTCCGGAAAATTTTGTGAAAGCTCTGTTGGTTTTTTCAACACAAAATGACTACAACATAAAGCTAGGTCGGTGATCAAAATAGTAGCCCTTTTTAGCCACTATTTCCCTCCATTTACTCGATGAATTCTTCCAAAAAAAAAAAGAGACGTGCAACACAATTCATCCATCGGCCGCATGCCCATATCCACAATCCATCCACACTCCCTACTCCACTTCTTGACAACTTTTTAAGTTCTTCTCATTGGAGCAAGCCTGTGGGCTTCTAAAAATATGGCAGTCATATGGAATGAGGTCAGGTGAATATGTAGAGAGTGGGGGAGGGTAGTCACGTTATACTAGGCCTTTCCAGCTCGTCTATCGACGTTCTCTCGTCGGGGGTTGAGCATTATCTATCACAATCAAAAAATTTCCTGGTTATTGGTATGAAACGGGCTTGGAATACCACTTTCTCAGTTGCTAACAGAATAGTCTTGCGTTGCGCAGTACACTATGGCAGGATCTCATAATAAAACCCCGATCGAGCAGAGAAAAAATGAGCTTATGTCTTTCTTGGTGTGACCGTCTCGCTTTGCAGCGAACTGTGCCCTTACGCTCATCGGTGGGCATTGCGATTTCCTGTGCAGATTTTCACATGACATCTCCTTTGCATTGATGTCGTCGTTTGCTTACAGTAGATGAGCTTCTGACACACATTGATTTGCAATCGGTGTGAGTCAAGGAATGCGCAATATTTGCAAGGGGTCCCTTTGAAAGTGACTCTTGCGTAGAACATCGGAGAGATGAATTGGGCAGTAAATATCATCTTTTTTCATTTATTGGTATTTTGAGGAGGATTGTTCTGACGGGAGGCCAGAACAGTGTCGCTGTTCGAGGACAGTGGAATTTCGCTTCGGCGAACTTTGTCATCGGCGAATTTCTTCTCAGAGGGAAGCGATCGTGCCGTTCATGTAATTGACAAGAGAGGGTCACTGCTGCCAATTAGAACCATCTCACTTCGAGCTTGAGTGTCAAAGCGATCAGTCTTGTAATAGTGAACGGAAGGCTCCGATAGTCTGATCTGTGGCAAACCGTTTGGCAGACGATTACTTATTTCAAACAGCCACTCAAATATGGAGCAGCTAGCTACGGGTAACTGTAACGTCATTAACTGAGAATCATATTTTCCCTTCCATTTATTCATTTATTGATCGGACAGCAACGAATCTATAGTCCCTCTTAAGCGAGGAGCCACATGCTTCTATAGTTGAGAGGCATAATTTTTTCAAAACTTTCCCATCCCCTAATAAATGGAGCAATAACTTTTTATGTCTGTTTGTTGTTTAGGTGGGAAAGTCTCAGAATGTCATGCAGGTGCTGTGATTAAGCTGCCATGAAATAAGAAGTCTATTGATACTATTCTTATTGATCCCCTAACCAATACGAAAACTGTGACGTTATTGACTGGGAATCATAACTTCCCCCACTTTTATCCAGGCTTGTACCTTATTTGGTTCTCTTCATTATAGAGCTATCACACCTTGGAAAAAGAAAGGAGGTAGGGTGGAAACACCTCTACCTTGACATCAGTTGACATCAGAGAGATCGAATTGAATTAGAGCGAAAATTTTAATTTAATTTTTACGAAGCTCTCGAACGCCACCTTAATCATTTCGTTTACCTTTTTTGTGTGCTTGAGAGACCGTTTGAAAACACTAGCATTAATACATTCTGGGTTTGTGGACGTTTTTGATGAAATGTTGGCGATTTATTCGGACATATTGTAACGCCATGTGTGAAGCACTATCACACTCTTGGTTTGGGGATCAGATCCCGACCGCCAGGGCTAATCAAAGGGTTTGCATATAAATGGTACTAGACTTGCCTGAAAGTGTGGATGCGCTGACTTGAACTTCGGCTGGTCACCCCATGTCATTCATTGTACAGACAGCATATGAATTCAAACGGTACTAATATTATGGAAGGAAGTGCGCGGTTGCATTTTAGCTTGATTACCGCTATGATGGTTCATCCTTTGTCTTTGCGTGTAATTATCTATGTGTACTTCATCACGTCGAATTGAAAGAGGCCCATAACAAAAAATGATTGATGAGAGCTTACATTAAGTTAGTCAGTCTATGATATGGCTATCTTCCTTCCTTTCTCAGTACGAGATGCTCAAATTATCTAGGCATCCTTTTTTTTCAAATTGCGCGAAAGGCCACCAGAAATGTGTTTCTCGGCGAGTAGTGTGCCTTCGTTACCTTTCAACTGATTTCATAGTAACAGATAGCTTTCTTGGGTTTATATCAGGTTTGCGTAGCTCGATCGATTCCGCAGATGTTCTAGTTTTTATCATTCAAGCTCATAAAAGCAAACCTTGGCCTACTACCAGCTATTTGAAACGACACATAGTCGAAAGGTCAATAAAATAACTAGTTCAAAATGATTGATTCAGTTGCAGATGTCGATTTCCGAACCAGAACCACATGCTTACATATGGGCCCGTCATCACTCGCAGCGGAGTTGCAGTCACGGGCGTCAGTGTGAGGTGCGTCAATTCATTACCGAATGCCGTTCTAGTCTACTCACTACAGATGTTTTTGGAGACTACGTCATGGCTATGCTTAGAAAATTAACTACACCTAGCCCATGAGAGAACAAACTGCCAGACTCCTCCCAAAGATAATAATGCCCTCACTGGTGGTGGTGGTGGTTGGTCGAGAAACAGAAACCTTCTGATGAATTGTCTCATTCTGCTCCATTACTGAGGCCTGATCATTTACTACTATAACATAATTAGATGAGCCTGACCATAATGTACTATGGTGTGACTGCACTGTCCTCCCTNTTAACGGCTTGGTAAAACTATGTGAGGTGAATGAGCGGATGATGGGCAAAGGCCTCAGCGTCCCGAGCCGCAATAAGAAGAATTAGAAAACAAAAAAAACGCAACAAGTTCGAAATCTCCCTTCCAAAATAAAAACAAAACAAAACAGGGCTCGATGGTGCCTGACTGACTGCAATCGAAGCAGGTGACAGCCGCCGCTGGCGGTGATCGACTCATAATTCATAAAGTGACACCGGCGAAAGCCCTTACAAGTTTACTTATGATAGAATTAGAATAGCGGAAGGTGGTCATGAAAGGTCACCAATTATAAGTGAATTTGATTTGGGGAGACGGGCAGTAGGAACGGTTTTCTGTGATCGATTCACCGCACACGGCTATCGCGGACCATTCGTTCGTCGTTATTACAGCTCTAGCGTTCTTCATACAGCTCATCGACATGCGGTCCTTATTTTAGTCATGATTCTACTGTTAGTTACTTTGTTCCTGTATTTCTTACCTGCTGCTTTCTCCTATACTCCTTGGCGCGCGACGTCCCTCTCGCCGCGACGCGACAATTTCGTTCCTATTGCACCATACCCGTGGATTTGCGAATAGTCAGGTTCCGACTAATCTCCCTTGTTACTGTGTTTTGAGCGACTTTTCAAGAACTTCTTGTACAGAGAAAGTAACTTTTCAAAATTCATACCTGAAGGAAGCTACTGGGAAATACTTCAGAGATACCAAGTGAGTCGATAACGCAGCTCGAATTTTGAAAAAGAACCACGACGTTTTGTTCTAAATTATATCTTGGACGAACCACTAACGTTGAGACTTCATACTTGAGACGTCATCGATGAACTGAAGAATTTTTAGCATATGACGAGCGAAATGGATACGCTTTGCCTGATGCCATCGTCGATGCGAGTCCTATGCGCTGTGCTGTGTGCCCTGCTCATTTCCTCATTGGCGGCAGCAGTCTTCAACAGTCTTCAGAGTAATGCCAAGGGATCGTCGAGTTTCTGCAAACGACCGGATGAGCAGTTTCGACCGAACTTTCTGTAATTTTGTTGCTCACTTATGAAACTTCTGCTAAAGCCTTATTTTCAAAGTTCAACAGACTTTAATCATTTTATAAACACACGGCACTCTTCGACTTCGTTTCAATTACGGCTGCATGCACAGATATGTTTGTCTCATGGGCCATGCTGTCGGCAAGGTAACATGAAACTGCTCGAAACCGCTGTTAAACTATCATGAATTTATGAAAATTTGTGCGCTAAGTATTTGGAACTCTGAAAAATGCAAAAAAATCTACTCGTACTGAGCCAACCATTTTTCTTCATGCTTTTTGGTTAACTTTTGCCGTCTTTGTGTCCGTTTTCCTTCTCTCTCGGGATTCTTTGATTTATTCAACAAAGAGTAGGGCTCATAGGGCATTTGTAGGGCATTTATTCAACAAATATACAAGATTTGATAAGTGCCCTGGAACGTAGTTTTGGGGTAATTCGTGGGTGACTGTATCATCAGTGAACGCAGTGTATCTGGATATGCAGCCGTGATCGAAACGAAGTCGACGAGTACCGAATGTTCGAAAAATTATTCAAATCGGTTGAAGGCATACGATCATGGTTACATGGTTGATGCAACATAGATGAAAAGCAAGGGTCAGTGATTTTGCGAGTTGCAAGAGGTGTGTACAGTTCAGCATGGTCGTGTTAACCCTTTGCGACTCGCCTATTATAGACGAATTTTTTGATTGTTGCTTCATCTAACACTAATCATCAAAAATACGAATTAACGTACTGCTCCCCTGGAAGCGTCTCGGAATACATCACTCCTCTATCATTTCTATAGTTAGGAATCAATTCTATAGTTACCATTGTGATAGTATGGTCATATTTTAATGGAAAGCTTATGGCGTGAAACCTCGTTTAAGTAGGTCCATGGTGGTCTCACCGTAGTCTTTTGCGAGTGAAATTATTCTAAAATACCGGCTTTAAATGCTTGTCAACCTGACTTTTGCGATTGAGAAGATGTGAGTCAACCCTGCCTTGACAATCTTCGTTGTCTACGCATCAACATCGAGCTACGAAGAAGGAGACCTGGAAATGTCGCCATACTTTCATCAATGTCTTCGTCTGTGAGTGACCCCAGAAGACGGTGAAGAGCTACATATCGGGATTCGTAGAACGGAATGGAATGGGCAAGGTGAAAGACTGTCCGAGTTCATCATGTCGACCCAAACTATCCATGTTACTTCAAAAGTCCTCTAATCTGCGATGGATATAGGAGTCACCTTTTGCACAGTTCCATAGTGAAGTAGATCACATCATCGTCAATCGAAAGTTTGGCTGACTGACGTCGCCGTTGTTCCGAAGTTTACACGAGATCAGACATCGTCTCCTTCGCGCTAGATTCTATTTCTCATTGCGCGCATAGGGAGCTGCGAAGTTCAGGGAACGAAGCCTCCGACCTTTACTAAATGAGACCACGTCACTTGTCTTGCGAGTTTTCGGGAGGATTGCGTTATCGACAACATCGAAGGAAATTACAATCGGCTTGTCGAAAATCTTCACGCTAGTGCGAGGAAAGCAAGGAGTCTAAAAGATGCCAAGAAACGTCTTTCTTCGAAGACTCTCGTGCTAATACGCCAGCATGGAATCGCTGTAAGCAATAACCAGCTAACATCTGAACTTGCGAAGCTATGCAGGAAGCGATAAAGGAAGCTCTGAAAGAGAGAAGAACAGCAGACATGGATGAAGCCGTCGAGGCCGGGAAGAGCATTCCCAAAGCCCACCGAAGTTCAGTCAATTACAAGACCAAGATCAAATCCCTTCATCTCCCTGACAGAACAGTTACTCATCTCGAAAGGCAATGGAGAAGGTCATCTGCGACTTCTACTCGGACACTTCTACTCTTCTACTTCTCAACATAATTCAGCTGTGAAGTGGTGCAGAAGCGTCCACTGTCAGGATGAATGCAATTCTTACCGTTTCCACTTGTCCAGCAATTTTTGCGATCGCGACGGCTACCGTGTCCGTTGCGAAGAAGTCAATGCCCTGTATGGTACGTATATTAGTGCTTGCTAGTGGTGAATCGTAATAGTCACTACATATTCGATGAAGAAAAAAACCGTTAAATAACAGGTCAAGTATCCCTCATACTGACGTTTTTGATTCGTTTACAAATTCTTCTTTTCAGATGTCCTCGAGAAACAATGTTCTTCTACTATTCTTGCTGCTTGGACTCGAATGACGAGGATCTCAAATGTTGTGCTCAAGTGCGAGTTTGGCTACTGTAGGTTTTTCCAATCTGAGACATTTCAAATTTTTTACCTCAATTCACGCGCTCTCTAAAATTATCCACTTCAAATTGTAACCAAAACTCTCTTATTTCGGAGCTAGTTTTTCTTTGCAAATTTGTGATCTTTGTGCACTACGGTTGCAGAGAGCGAAAAGTGTTCAATGTCCTTTTGTGAAAAATTAGAAACGGCCACAACTTTCAGGCAGGGATATCCTAGTGGTTAGAGGTGTAGGCTTAGAAAGGTATTAGTTCGACCACTGCCCAAGAAAAAGCATTCTTTGCAAGAAACTGCGAAGATGGTGTCGATGCCAGCGTGAGGCCTATGTGGACAAGTGGGGAAACTCAGCCACACCAATGATGTCTAAACACTTAAGAGAAATAAATGATAAAGCTAGGACCTCACACGGGAGTAGCACACAGGACCCTCGCCCGAGTCCAGTGGGCACTATGCAAGGGATAATTGCCATTAGGGGTGAACGAATTTGGCTGAAGAAGTTAGTTCAAACCAGGACTCAGGACGTAGGATTGCTTATTCGAAGTTTCCGGAAAGGCGCGGGATCAACGCCAGGGAGGAGAAGAAGGCTCATGATTCGTTTTCTTTCATGATTATAGGAGCAGGTGCATGCATGAATTTCTTGTACTGATCTGAGGGGGCAAGAAGACGTCCACATCAATGTCCTACTTGTCCAGAAGAGCTTAGAACTTACCTCTCATGAAATGTGATAAGTTTGATTAACGTGAGCGGAACTAAATCTGAGGGTTTGTCCCTGAATATACTGTAATAAGGGGACTACTTGTTAGCGTTTCAATTTCGCGATTAAACCCTTTTCTGACATTTCAACATCCTTCATGATGGCTCTGCTTCTTTTCAGAATCGCAATCATTTGTGTGAGCCTATCGTGTGTCATTGGAGTGTCATACACTATTTTCTGGTACTGCTGTATTTGCGAGAAGGCGAACACCGTTTTGGCAACTCCGCTATAAATTTGGAGGCAAGGATGTGTTTCTTGAAGAGCCTTCTCTGCTCAGAAAGTTCTATGTTACCTCGTAGTTACTTGAAAAATTTGATGTATGTCCTCTCTTCTGACCTCATCTATAATTTCCAGGGCAATTAACACGATAGTCGTGGCGCTTCGACAGTGGTAAGTCCCTGTACAAGTTGAGCGACAAGCTAGATTTCGAATCGAACTCGAATGCGTTTGGGATTTTTGACAGAGTGTCGTAAGAAAACTCACGAGAAAATAGATAAAGAAATCTCAACAGCTCTAGTCGTAAGTAGGCTTCGATTGAACTCAAATATCCAAAGGTGTCCAGTTCGTATGCAAGGCTACTGCTGCTTCTTTCAACGTCAATCCTCACCGACACATAGTCCGCTCATCTGGTTAGCTATCGCCAATTCGTTCCGGCCACGGTATTTCTGCCGATATCTTAGTATAGGCAAAGTCTCTATTGATTAGGACCATTCGCCTGTCACTGGGGCTCCTAGAGGTCCTTTCACCTGAGCATCAACGTGTGTACATTACTCTTCTTATCGAGTGATCCTATGTTCTTCTCAGCACTTATCCATAAAGTCACAGGATCCTCGCTTAGTAAAGGACAACTTGAATGACGGGCAACTTGAATGGCAGCCCTAACATTTTGAAGCGACGTTTTCATAATTACTACTTTTTGGCCAGCATTTACTATGCCGTAGAGCACCGTAGGCCTCACCACTCTAAGATATCCTTTCAATTGAGGGTCCTGAGCACTATCGATCATGGAGGATAACCTTCATCCGGGAAAGCGTTCCTATTCCATGGTCTACGCCAGCATTCATCTGCTACCACCGTGATGTCATCACCATATGAAGGGATTTGACTTAACCAGATGCGAATTCGTCTGTGATGACATATGTACATTTTGGCAGGCAAACGATCTGGCTCAAGCTGATCCTCGGTAAAGCTCTAGCGCAATATCTTTTCAATTGTTCAGCCGCAACTTTGTGTGGCTTGAATGTGTCAAGTGCCTCGAAGGTAGCTCAGAGCTCTTCATGGGAAATAACGGGAGTCGTGGCTCAAATCATAAGCCTGGCCTTCACTTCCCGACGTTTCAATCAAAGACGGAAAGGCCAGGTGAGTCTCCAATGATGGTATTCCAGAAGAGAACGCTATCGTCCTGAAAAATTTTGGCAGTACAGGTGGGGTATCGATAAATGATGATCGTTAAATTATTGCTGATTTATGCAACTGCAAGTTCCGTAACTCCTCCTGCAAGGCGAAAGTTGTAGAACAGTATTCGGTGACCCGACTTGCATGCAAATAGGAAATGTATCTCCGATATCTCCAATGTGTCAATTCTTCCACGTGCTACCTGTTGCGACTATCGTCCATAACATCTGCCCCAAAAGGTTAATCAGTTTTACTGTTCTTATCTCTCAATTAATTATACAGCCATGTTTGAAGTGTTTTTTGTTATTTGTCATTGTCATTATTTCAAAATGTAAGATCTGCCTGGGCAATGGTATTCATCCATTGTTCCTTCGTCAGTCTCTCGAATAAGGTCATGAAGGAGCTGTACTTGAATCCTGGGGCGTGTTTCTGAGTAATTCTTGCTACACCTTACCCCTCCGGAAGCCCATACCACCACATGACCGGAGTGGGTATCGTACGACGAGTACAATTGTGCCTTAGTAGTTTGACTTGTTGCCAGTTTTTCTTGTCTTCAATGGATTTCATTTCGTTTATGTAGTACGCTTAATGAAGATTCGTTCACAATATTCATTGATACAATATTCTGCACCGTGGAATGTCTTTATTACGTTATATTAAGCCTGACCGGATGCAACGCGAGCTGCTTTTGAGGTTGGCTTATACATGGAGAAGTTGCAGACGAGATCTTCGCTTACCTAAAATGACCTGCACTCGTATGATCCCATCAAAGTCGATAGCAGTGAAAAGCCCTTTTGTTAGCAAGGTTGTAGTAGGAAATGAGGTAAAGAGTCAATCGTATCGGCCACCACATTTGGTTCAGTCTTGGCTGACTGTCTGAGGTACCTTCATCGTGGCTGCGAAATTATCGAACTGTCCACAGTAGTGAGGTGCAGAGAATATGGTCACCATCTTTTTTGAGGCAAAGAATTCATAGCCATCTTGCACCACCTGGAAGCTATCAGCTGTTGTCTGCTACGGCCCAATTCTAAAATCGGATAAACCAACCTGGTGGGCTCTAGCAATCAGATCAATTCCAAGTTTCGCACACATTTCAATGACGACATCCTGTCCGAACACATAGGACACTCCCCGGGTGTTCGCCTGCCATCCCTTAACAAACGCCTCGTGACTAGGCGACAGAAAAGGAACAACAGGAAAGCCACTGCTCGAATGATTACCATTCAATGGAATTTTTATGTAGATTTTTAAAGGGCACCGAGCTTCATGTTTTGATGCTAACTAGACGCTGAACGTACCTTTACCCATTGATCGGGATCTGCCCACAGCAAATCAATGCCCATCGATGGGTTTGGAGGATCTTGTGGTCGAGGCAAATTTCGAAGCTGATCGATAGCTGTGAGTTGAGGAGAAAGTCCACCGTGCATACACAGAATTCGTCCAGCGATCAGACCACATAATGGCATCCAGTTAAACGTGTCCTGTCAAAATTGAGATAATCTTTCAACACAGGACGACCTGAGTACTCAATGTACTTCTTTCATTTTTTGATGTTAAATGCACATCAGCAGAAAATACGTGTTGCCAACGGTGTGGTTTGAGGCAAGTGCTATAGCTTTGGCTCATCCTTTAACGATTTGTTATGCGATAAGCGGAAAAAACGATCAGCAGCAGTGATCCGCCTGAATTCTATGTCTTCTTCCACAGTTGCTTGCGGACGATGGAAGCTGCGCCAGAACAGCATGCGAGGCGACTAGTACAACTGACTAGAACAACCAAATGAAGGCAGAGCATGACACGCAATGGCAGCTAGTTAGCACCTAGGGGTTGGTTAGACAACGTCGTGCGTTAACGTGAGAGGGATTCAAGATCAGTGTATGAGTTAACTAAGGTGGGAATTTGAGAAGGGTAGATACTTTTTTTGCCGGTTCCGCTTTTTTTGGAACGTTTTGAAAGTTTTTAATGTGTTTCTATATACGCGCACTACCCACTTGCATGCGCCATAACATATGTGGCTACCTCCTGTTTAATTGCTTAACCATACTATGACCAAGCTGTCTCCCATTTTCGGCACGCACCTTTCAGGAGCTCGAATCCGGCCATCCTACTGCTGAAGCCCATTGAAAGTTGTGCCAAGTTTTGGGCATAAAAGTGGTTGTGTGCAAGGCTCCTTTCACCGCCTCAAAGCCGGAAACGAGAAGGTGGACTATGGGCTTGATCTGGTCGGCCGACTGTGATACGAAGAGATTTCGAATATGTTATACGCATATGAGCAAGTAGTGACTTATTTTCATGCATGAAACCTCCGACCCCCGGGAGATGCTTCATTGGCTGCTTTCATAGGCCGGCCGGCCGGCGGACTATGAAAGCAGCNATTAGTAGTTGACGTAGAAGTCTCTCTCTAAGTCCCACATCCAACAAGCGTTGCCTTTCGTTGTCATTTGATGAGCAACAAACACGAGCATTGTCTCTCTAATCACGCGTTCAAAACTCCTCAGCATAGGGAGGTTCTCCATTCGGCATAGACCCAGTGCACAGTTGTTTAACGTTAGTCTGGGAACTGCGCTGCTCCAACAATGCAGACGGGCCTTCCACTAGTTTGTTCATGTGTCTTGTCGTACTTCAGCAGAAGTGAGTTTTTGCAAACACTTTTTTTATTTCCTTGTAGCTCGTCTATGATCTCTACTTGGTCCACCGCCTAATGGTATTTCAGAGGTTCGCAATATTAAAAGAATCGAAGGACATGTGTATAATCGTGAACACCATGAGTCTTTCCATCTCAACCATAGACAATAAAGTGGCTTGTTCGTGCTTGTGGTAGCAAAACAGCAATCTCGTTAAGCTCTGAATTGCAGCTCGAGGTTGTAGTTGTAGATTGAATTTTGAGCTCCACCACTTTGAACAACGCCTCGTCTACAACTCCTATTCTTGAACAATGTACAGTGTAAAAGAGGTATGCAATGAGTTGAAGGGGAGAGGAGTTGCAAACCCTCTCGGATCGCACGTCAGGACGGCTGTCGAAGGAATCAAAGGTCAGATGACCGAAATGTCATGCGATTTTGTTTTGGCACTCAGACCATCTCGAATCGCATGACAGTCGCTGACGACTGATCTCTCGGGACGTCAATTGCACACCACGACGACCCGACTTTGGAAACGAGTTCTCTTCTTTCAGCACGCTCTGAGCAAAAAAAAAACAGTTCACTATATGACAGCGTCCCAAAATAAAGGTTTGACTTTCACTTTGTAGAACTTATTTTCACTGAAAATCTTACGACATTTCAAAATCGCCACTCATTGAGTAATCGGATAGAAGACGCTTCGTCTAGATATGATGTGCCTAAAATTTTTCCACGCTTCTGGTAACGGTATAGGGAGCTCTACCTTTGTGATAGGACCGGTAATGATCCATGGTCTTTCCATAGTACTAAGACTATGTCCCACTATAAATTACATGTCATTCTGCGAAAAAGACAGTAACAACATCTGCTCTTTCACCAGTGGGAGCCACTACGCTTTAGTTTCGGTAAGTTCTATTTTGACTCGTGAGTGATTCTCAACGCCCACCACCTCTCCAACACCATGGTCTCTGCAGCTCCGGAGCTGAACACTGAAGAACTCCTGAATTCGCAGCGTCACTATCTGCCAGAACGATAGGCCTCTTATCATCCTCCTGATCTTGGCTTTCGTGAAATTCTGTCCACATAAACTCAGCGCTGTCCTTCGAGCAGGAAATATTGCGTTTAAAAAATGATCGTTTTTCACCACACAGAGTTGACTTTGTGGAGAGGAAACCGAGATCTGAATCCCGTATCCCGTAAATTGACGGTGACCGACAGTGCAAAATGAGCAGCCAACAAAGCTGTAGAGACTGTGGTTTAGAAGTAAACAGCTTTTTTGCTTTGTTACGTGTGCGAAGGTGACATTACCGTAACTGCATCTATGCAACCCAATCGACCCGAAAAAGGGTCATATGCAGCCCCGGGTGAGTATTCGGAAAGGCACAAAATCCACGCTTTCAATCTGTTCTGAACCTTTGTTTGAGAAATAAATTCCTACTAGTGAACCTCTTTTCTGAACAGGGTCGGTGCATGGACAAACACGGTTCAGAAAAGTGAGAAAATATGGTTCGTAAATCAGCGGATCGGAACATTTTCTGACCCATACTGACCCACAGAGGTCCCCTATAGGGCTTCATTGATGAAAACTATCAATTTACTGGAGAATAATGCCTGAAGTATAGGTCACAATCTAACAAATCCCGGTAGGCGCAAGAGAAGCGAAGATCCCGAATACTGCACTGCAGCGGCCACACGTGGTAGATGCCGAAGGTGAAGGTCGCCGAGCCCCTTCAAAATACTCAACGTGTTACAGTCTTGCTGTGAGATGAAATATAGGATAATGCCAATGGGGAGTAAGCGTGCAGGGCGGGTTATCTGGGATAACAAATATAACGGATATCAACATTTCTGATTTCTCACAAACAAAGCTCGGAGCTGACAACGTATCTCACCTGAAATGAGCTCCACAACCTAGAGCTTTTATAGCGCCTGTTGCATTCTTCATAGAAACCATACACACGATTGATGGCAGGGCATTCATGGTTACCGCGAAGCATAAAGAAACTTTCAGCATATCTGGAAGGGAGCAAAGAGAAGGTAGCGATAATAGGTAGCGGCTGATGGAAAAACACGGACTTGATCCTGTAGCAGAACATCAGACATATAGTTTCGATGTTCTGGCGTCCTCTGTCGACGTAGTCTCCAAGAAAAAGGTAATTTGTTTCTGGTGGGAAACCATTTTTGTCAAAAATACGAAGCAGGTCCGAGTACTAGAAAGCTGGACTCATAGCATGGGCGAGTGTTATACATTTCTTCATTATTCATACCTGTCCATGAATATCCCCACAAACAACCAGTGGTGGTTCGCACTCGATAAGTGATGATTGGGATATGAAAACTTGTCGTGCAGTGAAGCAGCACTGTTGAAGTTCCTGCTCTGACACCTGGAAAGTTCTCATTTCGTTATTCGACGAATTCGCTTTTACATTAGAGAACGTACCGATGTAGTCAGTCGCCCTCCGGCCATTCCCACATTCAGTAACCGAGACATCAAACTGTCGACATCAAGTGCGGCCATGGTTGAGTTGTATGAGAGTCACAACCACGACTGGGCAAGCAGTACCACTCTAAAGAATTGAACTCACCGCTTTCGAAAGGAGTCAAAGTTAAAGTATCTACTGCAGTAAACAAAGCACTGAAGTTACGGGTTGGTGATAAGAGTATTTCTAGTGTACCTCAGGTAGTACTCCAAAACCAATCATCTACAGCATTGGACCAATCTAGATACGCTGGGCAGCATAAGAAAGAGAGAAAAATACTGAAAGAGAGAACTTCAACTGCCCTAATCATTGGTGAAATGGTGGAATAGTGCAAAAAGAAGGAAAGCAACAACAATCCTCCAAAGAAGTCGCTGAATTCTGCACGAGTTTTTGAACTCTCCTAGGATCTGTTAAGCCACTACCTTATATACGATAAAGAAACGCGAGTTAAGTGACAGTGCAGCATTGAGGTGATGGGCACAAGTTATTCAAGATTATTCTGGTGGTAACTACTTCTTAACATGTATACCTTCTTTGTCTATAAAATGAGTGCTAAAGTCTTGCTATTTAAGGAGAAAAGTTGAAGTGGTTTTTCCAAGTTTTCTTTCCGATCTGCTTGATCGGGTAATGTTGCAAGAAGCGAATTCCTTCAATAAGTAGTAACATGCTTTTAGGGAAATTGCGTCACTGAAGTACTAGTGACTGCTTCTACTTCCTTTTACAAGAGGAACGAAATAAATCTGAGTGCCTTAGTCCTGTTGCAAAAGCCGAATTTCTCAAAGGCACGATTTACCCTATCGCGATAAAACTGTTTTCCGAGAATCCTATCTAAAACGAATCTGTCACTCTTACATTAATGTCTCATTGGGCGCTGTCGGGTCGAACATCGGGTCAGATAAAATTGCAGTGAGGGTAAAATTATTGGCTTCGTCTTATTCAAAGGCGTACGTGTATAAACGACGCCGTGGAGGCTTCAATGGAGTGCACATGCTATAAATTCGAACGACTACATAGTAGACCCAAGGTCGCAAGG